TGAGTTTAAAAATAAATAATTATTATTATTTTTTATTTTTTATTTTTTTCAAACAAAAATATGATGAATCAAGTGATTATAATCATCAGATCCATTTCATTTTATTGATGCACGATTTATACAAAAAAAAAAAATGAAAAAATAAAAGCCCTATTAGACAAATTACTCAAATCACAATCGAGTATGTAGTAAACCTACAGAAGTAGACAATTGTGAACGGGAGTGAACCTCTTCTCTTTTTTAAGTAAAAAGTGAATTCTTGAAATGATACAATTAGGTTGTTTTGTTCAGGCCTGGCCCTCGGATTTTCGAGATTCAAATCAATAATTAACTAATAAATTTTTGAGATTTTTTATATTTTTTTTTCATTGAATGAAAAAAAAAAATGAAGGTAAAAGATAAAAGATTTGTGTCAAAATCACAAAAAATACTTAGTATTATATTACAACAACTAATAAGTGTCGCTTGATCCTTGCTCTTTTTACAATTTTTAGAAGCAAATAAATCAATCATACTTGCATAATCTAATTTTTTTTCAAAATCATTTTTAATGGATAACAATGCTAATTATTTTAAATAGGCCTTTTAATTTTTTAATGAGTCAATTTATTTTAAGTAAGGTTGGATATTCCTCAATTTTTTTTTGAATTTAAAACATACTGTAAATCAAAGTATAAAACGCAGCGGATGAAAAATTTCATAGTCATATCTTTTAGTAGAGTCTGAAGCGAAGAATCTCGTGGGTAAATCACGTGCTTCCAAGATATGAACAACTAATCCAGCAGTGGAGTGATACTACAAAATGAGTATCACCCACACAAGTCACAGTGCACAAGTTTGATCGTTCTCATATGGGAGAGAGTTAGAGAGAGAGTCCGGAAAAAAAGGTTATGGGTAAAAACCACATAACGTATCTAATATACGTATCTCCCATCATATCAGATGTATATTATTAAATATATATCAACCAATATCTATCTATCCATCTATCCATATCTATTGATATGATAGATATAGATATCCTGAATGATTATCCAAATAAGTTTTGAATTCAAATTCAAACTTACATGGATAAGGTTCAAAAAATTCAGGTTCAAAAGGTTCAAAGGGTCATGCCACATGGCGCGCCCAATTTCTAACACATACCTAATATATTACAATAAACTATAATGGGAGGGGACCCTTTTTTTTTGTTTATTTTTAATGGATAACAATGTTAGTTTTTTTGAATAAGTCTTTAATTTTTCACTCGGAGGAGTTTTTTTTTTTGGTTTATTTTGAGGGATCTTAGGCCATGGTCAGGTTAGCTCATGTCTAGGGCCGATGCTGGTTTTTTTTATATGATTTATAAGTTGATATTCTTTTTTTTTATTATTATAAAAAACGTATAAAAAGTAAGAAAGTAATATGACTCAAATAAGCTAATAAATAATTTATTTATGATATTGTCAAATGAACTTTCAGTAATAAACAGAGTGCCACATCATATGATGCCTAAGGGAGGAGTTGCTTATTAGTCTTCTTTTTTTTTTTTTACAAACTTAAGATAGTTCATTATCATGAATAATCTACGGGGCTGTACTGTACTACATGAATGGAAGGTTAATGCACAGATGTGACATAAAAAATATTTACATTAATAAGGTTAAGTTTGGCAACCTCAAAAAAATTTAAAAATTTAAAAAGTCACTATCCTATTTAAGTCACATTATCTTATTTAAGTCACATCACCTCTCTGACACATCACTTCAAACCTAACCCAAATCCAACTCATATTTCATAAAAAGTCAAAAAATACACTTATTTAGTCTTCCCAAACTTGGTGTCACATTTGGGAATGCTGTGTTTAAAACATTTTATACACCTAAACTTATTTATAATCTACATACGGAGGGTTTTGTTTAGTGCAACACATTATAAATTAAAAGTTAATAATTAGAAATTAGAAACTAAAAAACACGGCTCCCTCTAACTTTTAAATAATTAATTTATTTAAATTATTTCTACTAAATAAATTATAAATAAAAATTATACCAAATAATTTAAGAAAATTTATTTATAAATCTCATCTTGAGGAATGGTAATCCATTTAGTCCTAAAGATTTTTTTATAGATCAATTAATCTCATTGATTTTGGAAGAGTAGATAATATATTATTTAAAAATTAAATTTACGGTTATACTCTTATTTTTATTAGGAAAAATTAGTTTAAGGTCCCTCTTCCACTATTAATAATGGAAGAGATCCACAATGTTATTTTATGATGTCTAAGGTCCTTCAACCCCAAACCCATATATCACAGAGAAATTTAAAAAGAAACGAAAGGCTTCAAAAACTAAATTTAGTCTGTCTCTTCTCACTCTCTGCTCTCTCTCTCTCTCTCTCTCCTACATCAATGGCAGCTGGGTTGGTATCTAACGGCGATTTCTTCGTTGCAAAGTCTTCGGCCGTTAACTAGCCGTGTTGCCTCTGTTTACAGTGAGGTTCAAGGTCGTCCATGGCCTCCTAGCTTCGCAGGCAGTGACTCCAACTCTTTTGTCTGCTCCGTCATTCAAACCATGTAAGTCATGCCCACTTGTATCAGATGTGAATGAGGAACACTCAAATTCACAATCCCTTTCCGGCAATTCTTTCTCAAGAAAGCATAGAAGTAATTTATGACTAGCTTCTTAAGGAACCATGAATCCTTTCTTGCCCTAATGTCGCCGTGACTAGCTCTTTCTCAAAACTCTGCTCTGCGTCAGAACCCATTGGATCTGTGGGTGGCTTTGGCTTTACCTCCCCTGAAGTGCTTGTTTCTAAGATGGGTTTGTTTGTGTCGTCATAGTCAAACAGGAGGGGAACACCAAGTGAGTACACACTGCCATTGGAAGCAATGAGAACTCTAGTAGTGTTCTCGTCTTCAGAATCTGAATCATCATCTCCATTACTCTCTGAAGTTGCTCATTGCCATAGCCATGGTGTTCTTCATAGGTAATTTTGTTCTTCTCTCTGGTTTGAGTGAGTTTCTCTGGGTTTGGAGAAGAGAAATTCTCTGGAGAGAAGGGAAGGCCAGAGAAATTTTCTCGTGGGAGGGAAATTTCTCTGAAGGCTAGAGAAGAAAAATTTATCTGGAAAGAAGGGAAGACTAGAGAAATTTCCAAGTTTGGTTACTTGAAATTGTGGATTGAAATTGAATGTGTGATTTGATCACAGTAGGAAAATGTGATTTGGCTAGAGAAAATCAACAAATTTCTTTGGCTATCACACAGAGAAAATTAACACAGAAAAGTAACAGACACAATTTTCTCTGGTTTGGTTAAAACATAGAGAAAATTATGAGTAAATCAGAGAATATTAGTCAAATACACAAAGAAAATTGTAAACAAATCACAGAGTTATTTGTGAGTAAATTAGAGAAAATTCAACCCTAGAGAAATTTCAAAACATAGAAAATCAAAAAAATTGAACAAACCTTAGATATTATGAAAATATTGAATGTTCTTTATGTTATAAAATCTTAACATCAAGTGCCCTAAAAAAATCCCCCTTTTTATTATATATATATATATATATATATATTTTCTTTTGTACTGTAAAGGTAAGATACACAATATATGATAATCAAATTTGGAATGAATTTTTATATAAAAAAATATTTTTTATTTGAAAAACATTTCAAAAGGAATACAAAAATAAGTTAAAATATAAGATTTTTCAAACATTTTAAAAGTATGTATGATTTTTCAAACATTTCAAAATGAGTACAAAAACTACTTAGTAAGTTTTTGCCAAATATATAATTTCAAACTGTAATATTCCAATGTAACACTCAAACGTAACACTAAAAAAATAAAAATAAAACATTTTAGTGTAATACCCTAATGTAACACATAAAAAACTATGTACTGTACTTTTTCAAAACATAAAACTCTAATATAACACTTCAAAAAAACTCCTTAGTGTAACATTCTAATGTAACACACAAAAAAAATTTCTTATTGTAACACTCTAATGTAACACACAAAAAAAACTCATTAGTGCATTTTCCCCAAATGTAACACTCTAAAAAATTCCTTAGTGTAACACTCTAATATAACACACACAAAAACTCCTTAGCATAACACTATGTAACACTTTAATATAATACTAAAAAAAAAAATTTTAATATAACATTCTAATGTAACACACAAAAACTCTTTAGTGTACTCTTTTCAAACATAACACTTCAATATAACACTCTAAAAAAATTTCTTTGTGTAACACATTAATGTAACACAAAAAAAAAAAAACTCTTTGATTATGTACTTTTTTGAAACGTAATCCTTCAATGTAACAAAAAAAAAATTATTATTGTACTTTTCTTAAATGTAACACTCCAATGTAACACTAAAAAAAAAAAAACAAAGAATGTGAGATTCTTCAAATCATTTAAAATGAGTACAAATATTCCTTCCACTACAACAAATTACACTTTTGGCGACTAAATTTTTAGTCGCCAAAAGTCATTTTTTGGTCGCCAAATATTTTTCCCGACTAAAATTCTTTGTCGCCCGTTTGGTCGTTGATTGACTGTCGGCAAAAGAATTGGCGACTAAATTTTTTTTTAGTCGCCGAAAGTCACCAATTAGCGACTAAAAATTTAGTCGTCCAAAAAAATATATTTAGTCGCAAAAAAAAAATAAATTTCATCATCAACTTTTTAGCTACCAATTTTTTAGTAGCCAAAAACGTGGCACTCTTGTTTGGCTATCAATTTTTTAGTCACTAAAATCATGGTACTCCCTTTTAGCTGCTAATTTTTTAGTAGCCAAAAACTTCTTTTTTTTTTTTGGCTACTAACTGTTTAGTCGCCAAAAGCTCTATTTATTAATTCTTTTTAAATGCACAAATTGAATATTTTTCATTAATTTCTAAATTATATGCATTCCATTATCAATGCAACCTGTACATGTACAGAATAATATATCTATCAATTATAATCTAAATCTATTATCAATAATACACATTTCATTATCAACTATCCAAAAACTTTAACTTATAACATCTTATTCCAAGTATCATATAAATTCATTCTAACCAAGTATAATTCATCTAAATTAAATATTACATTCAAAAACACTGTATTTCCAAAACAGAGAATTGTACACAAATAGATGCCATATACAGAATAAATGCTCTTTGTACACAAAAATAAATATCCACAATAGCTCACGCAAAAGCAATCTGTAAAAAATAAAAAAAAAAACCCATTAGCACTTATTCAATAAAATTGACATTTCAAATTATAACAATTATAAAATTAATAATTCTGATATATTATACTCTAGCAGAAACACAAGATGTTTGAACAAAGACTCAACATTACAACTAGGTCAAAATACCTTGAAAACCAATTAAAAGCAAGCGAGGGGTATATGTAAGGATTCCCTGCACATGATTAAGACTCAATTGTAAACAACATGACATGAATGCAATCTGTACAAAACATTACAACTGAGAAGAAAGTCATCAAAATCAAAATCACTGGATATTGAATTAGCAAACTACTAGTGCATGTCTGATAAATTTGAAGAAAAATACCACAATGAAGAATTAAATATGTAAATTAGAGAATAGACAATGTTATACCCATTACACAAGAGAACAAACAATGGTAAAGGAGGAAGGAAAATAATTGCCTACAATGTATCAGAGAGACATGTCTCTAAACAGAGCTGAATGGTAGAAGATGATTCTGTAGCCACAAGGACTTGGAATTGAGGCTTTATCAAATTGAATAATGCAACCTCACCCACATAATAACAGTGCAGGAAAGGATAAAGAAATCCACCATGTATATAGCCAACAAAATTAAATATATCAATCTCACCCACCAAATGCTCCCGTAGATTGCAAGAACTTAATGTCAAAATTTCCCACCTGTTGTGTTTCACCAATCCTGTTGGGTTTTTCATGTAAAATATGATATTCATGTGTTGATTGTTTATTCATGATTCAATCTGTTTGATCAACTAAAATTAAACTTAAAATCAATAATTTTAATTGGTTGACCTATTCATCCCCTTTAAGCACTTTGGACTCCGTAATTTCACAAACATAGTGCTATTGCAAATTAAGTAAATTTTCAATGCAACAATTGGGTTTTTTAACAACAGTTAGAATCATAGAACAACAAGAATGGGCAGATTCAAAAAAAGAAGAGGAAGCTATATTTGGCGGTAAGAATTACAGAAAAGAAATGAGAAAATTCAAGGCTAAAAAATGTGAGATGCTGCTGCAAATGATTAGGTTGTTGATCTTGTGAAAATTTAAGACTAGAAAACATGGGTCTCTTGTTAGTCCCTTTGTGTTCTCCTTACAGAACACATTGATTTAATTAAGTGTGAGAACGTATTTTTGAGTGGCACCACATTGGTTCAAGATCTCATTTATATTGTACGATATCGGATTGTGGTGCATGTGGTAGGATGATAATGGTTTAGGTTGTGACATTGGACGCGGCTCCGAAGTTGGGTATAAATGATATTCTTAAGGCGATAAACCCAACCCAATTAGGAAGATAAATTTTAGATAAGGAATACTAGGTAGACAAGTAGAGTCCTAAATGGAAAATGAAACGTAGGCTGAGATAGAGCATTACTGTATAAATAGCACACCACCAAAGTTGGGTATAAATGATACTCTTTGACTTTTATATATTTTATGGCCTTCACCGTGGCATCTTCATGTTGGTGATTTTGGAAACATGTGCACGTTCACTGAGAGAGAGATCTGCAAAATAAACATATGAATCCTATAATTGAAGCACACTATATTGTATGCCTGTGGAACTTACATTGGTGATATAAATAGTCCAAAAGCAAAGATGTTCCCTGCAATAGGCACACAAGAATGACCCTTTTGACAATTTCTTGAATAATACGCTTGAAATATCCACCTCATAGTAAAGCAAATAAAGTTAAAATTAAGCTTGTAAAAGTTCACATGTTACAAATTTGAGAACTATTCTAGAAACTATTTTCAAAATAATTCTGGTCCTCCTCTTCTTCTCCCTTTCTGTCATGAATTTATTTTCACAAGCTGGAATCAGGTTTTGGATTTTCTGGAAATTATTACCATAAATCTTTGCAGCTAAACTTTGAGATGGCAAACAATTCCATACATAGAGAAACCATATATACTCACACCGACACACACAAAGGGTGGAGCCACATACCCCGTTAAAACTTATTGAAACTAATGGGTTCAAACTTCTTATACTTGGCGACTAAAAAAATTTTAGTCGCCAAAAGTTGTGGAATTGGCGACTAAATATTTTTTTAGTCGGCAAAAGTAAAATATTTAGCTACTAATTTTTTTTAGTAGCTGTATATTGGTTATTGGCGACTAAAAAATAATTTAGTCGCCAAAAATGTCAGAATTGGCGACAAAAAAAAAAATTTAGTCGCCCTACATTAATTTTTGGCTACTAAAACGACTTAGTCGCCGAATGAAAAATAAAAAATTATTTTTTACCTTTGGCGACCAAAATTTTGGTCGCCAAAGGTAAAAAATAATTTTTTATTTTTCATTAGGCGACTAAATAGTTTTAGTAGTAAAAACTAAATATACAACGACTAATTTTTTTTTTTTTTTTGTCGCCAATTCTGACATTTTTGGCGACTAAATTATTTTTTAGTCGCCAATAACCAATATACAGCTACTAAAAAAAATTAGTAGCTAAATATTTTACTTTTGCCGACTAAAAAAATATTTAGTCGCCAATTCCACAACTTTTGGCGACTAAAATTTTTTTAGTCGCCAAAGGTGCGTTTTGTTGTAGTGTTCGTAAGTTTTGAACAAATATATAATTTCAAATTATGAGTATTATATTTGGGAAAAGTACATTAAGAATTTTTTTGGTTATATTGGAACATTGCATTTGGGAAAAGTATACACCAAAGAGTTTTTTTTTTTAGTGTCACGTTAGGAAAAAGTACACCAATGAGTTTTTTAATGTGTTACATTGAAGTGTTACATTATTGGAGTGTTATATTAAACTGTTAAGTTTTTGTTTGCTATGTGGGATTTGTTCTAGAATGAGGGAAAATCCAAAACTTCTATAGTACAAATTGCCTAAATGTAATTTTACATTTTAAGAAATCCACTTTTATCCCTGAAAAATTAAACCCAAACATATAAATAACTACTCTTTTGTGTAATTTTCACTTTAATGACACTTTTGGATTCATAAGAAAAAAATAAGAAGGAATAAATAGTTCATAATATCATATTTTAAAATTTATTGATGTTTCATCCATAATTTAACAAATTTTTTAGAATAATAATGATAAAAAAGATTTAAAAAAAGAGAGTAATGATACATCTTTTTAATTTTAGAATTCTAATAATATGATAGAAAATAAAAAATAAAAAATAAAAAAATAAAACCAAAGTCAAAATATTATATGAGAATGGAATCCACTCTAATTAAAGCCCGTTAAAACTTCTTTATTAGAGTCCCAATCACATTCAAAAAATAAAAAAATAAAAAAATAAATAAAAAATGGTCCAACATCAATACATGGGCAGTCTCATGAGACATACTGCAGCGCTACATTTAGCAGTGGTGTGGTAAATATTTTGGACTAAATAATCACGTAATGATAAATAAAAAAAATGAAAAAAAACTATAAAATCATAAAATGTCAAAATATTTGAGTTGAGATGTAAAATTATCTAACTCACTTATATATAAATAAAAAGTCAAAAAAGCATCATTTTTAAGTAGAGGACAATTTTATCATTTCAATACAAAAAAGCTATTTTATCATTTAAATTTGATAAAATAAAATTATTTTTTTCTTCAATATTGGCATCAAATTCATATCGAATAAGAAAAAAAAATAAAAATTTCGTCAAATGAAAGAATACTTTCATCTCTCATTAAATTTACATTATTATCGTTGAGTTAGACATCTTCCTAGATGTCCACTAAAGAGTAACTTTTATAGTATTTTTTTTATCATGTTCGAACGATCTTTAAGACATTCGCCTAGACGACTTTCAGGACATCTGCTCGAACGCCTTCCCAAACAATTGGAAATATGAAAAAATCTAATAAAAATTTTGGTTCAACATTAGAGTAAACAATAGCAAATCAAAATTTTTATCAAATTTTTATTCGAACTTGATGAAATTTTTAATTCAACGTTGAAGATACTCTTAGAATGTTAGTTTGGGATTAAATTACTCAATAATGACAAAATAAACTAATTTAGTCAATAAAGTAAATTGTCATATTTAAATTATAATTATTTCATTTTTTTTCTCACAGCTATCAAATCAATTATAAAAAATATCATCATTCCAATATAATTTTTTTAATCAAATTAAAATAGTCAAATAATAATAAATAAAAAAAAATCAAATTCAACCCAATTGAAGGTAGGTTATTTTAGTAATTTTTTGATTTTTTACGAAAAAATATGTAAAAAAAGAAAAAAATAATATGATAACTTATAATAATTTTTTAAAATTTTAAATAAAATGTATAATTGACAAACGAGATCTTAATGAAATGAATAATGTAATATGTATTAATTAATATATTAATAGATAATGCGATATTATTTTAAAAATTTTAAATATTTATAATGTGTATAATAAATGTGGTCAATAATAATATTATAAGACTAATATGTACCATCACCGCAATAAAATTGGTAAAATAAAAAAACATATCCGTGAGCGGAGCGGGTGTCGGTGGAGTTAAAGCAGGAGAGAGAGAGAGACAGAGAGGGAGAGAGAGAGAGAGAGAGTACGTACACCACATTCTCGCCGTAACGTTTGCAGAATAAGGTACCAACCACGTGCAGAAACCCAAAAAAACATAAAAAAAAATAATAAAAAAAAAGGTTAAATTACTAATACATTCTATTTTAAGGGTCTGGTTAACGACGTGTTATATAGCCTCCGTTTGGACAGTGGGTTTGCTTTTTAGTTTTTTGGTTTTTTTTAACTATTTTAGTCTAGGCTTAAAAGCTTGGTTTGGAAAGGTCTTTTTAATTTTTTGACTTTTTTGAATTTTTTTGTGAGAGAAGAATGTAATGATTATGGGTTGGATGTGATGTTTTGTTTGTTATGACTAAAATAACATATTTTATTTTTTGTGACTAAAATAGCCAAAAAAGTCCAAACCATAGCTACCCAAATGAAGCCATAGTCATTTTTTTAATGTTTGTGATTGATTGAGAATATAAGGTATATGATTTTGTGATGAATGATTGAAAAATATAAGTATAATGTATGATAATTAGTAACACGTGATACTCTGAAATTATTAAATAGTTTTTATGGATTAATGAATTTAAATTACCTCTGCTTATTGGAAATGTAAAACAAAAATAAAATTAAGTATGATAATTTTCAAAATTAGATATATTTTTATATGGATAAAAATGCCCTCATTTTTGAAATATTGAAATTCACTTATTTATAAAATAAAAAAAAATAGTAATAGAATAAATAAATAAATAATTTATAAATCATATAAAATAATAGTACTTTTTATTTGGAAGCTCATGTAAGTTGAAACAATTCTGTCAAATGGATTGATAAAATTAACTTACAATTAGATATTTATCCATTAATACTATATTAGAACCCCAAAAATAAATAAAAAATAAAAAATAAAATTCATTGATGTTATAATATTACAACAAAAAATAATTTAAAAATAATAAACCAAATAAATAAAAATACTTTATCTAAAATTATATAATCATTGTGTTGCAAAATTTAAGAAAAATTATGATTATAATAAAATAAAATAATAAAAGAAAAATTAATAGGTGAAATTGAGCAAAATACAAAGAGGGTACTTTGATTTCCATGTAAAAAGAACTCTTTAGTCTTAATTGCTTTAAAAAAATTTACTACTTTCCATAGAAATAGAAGTAATTACACTCATTTAATATCTTTTTTTAATATATGCCCTTAACAAATGCGTCGCACATGTAAAAGATAATTTTTTTTAAAAAAAAAGGTTTTATTAACATGTGCCCTAATGATATGAGTTATATTAGAGATTCTAAATAAATTATTAAATTTTCTATCAAACCTCTCACATAAATACGAGACTCACACTCATTTAATATTTACTACTTTCCATAGAAATAGAAGTAATTACACTCATTTAATATCTTTCTTAATATATGCCCTTAACAAATGCCCCGCACATGTAAAAGATAAAAATTTTAAGAAAAAGTTTTTATTAACATGTGCCCTAATGCTGCATTTGATTATGAGATTTGTGAAGATATATAGAAAGGAAAATATAAAAAGTGTGATTCCACACTCATGTGAGAGGTTTGGTAAAAAATTTGAGGTCCATAGTATTTTTCCTAATGATATATGTTAACAAGAAATTAAATAAATATCTTTATATCAATTTGTATAGAAAATAACATAACTTTAAAACTATCTTAATTAAATTGTTTTATATTTATAATAAGACTGAAATACCTTTTTTTTGTTTTGCACCCTTTATCTCCCTTATTTTTGTGTACCTCTTCACTTTCCTCTAAATTTAATGTTTTATATTAATTTTAATTTGGACATTCTCCTTATTAGTAACTTATACTTGTATACATATATATTGATTGAGTTTTTTGAATATATTTTTCTAAAAAAATAAAAATAAAAATAAAATATAATTTGGTGATTTTTTTAAAAAAAATTAAACACTAATTATTTTCATATATTTTTTGGAACATAAAATAATATTTTAAAATTTAAATATTTATTTTTATTTATTTTTTTCAAAATAATTTATAATTTTTTAAAAAATAAATTTTAAATACAAATTCTAAATATTAAATTAAATAAAAATATTTTGCAATTAAAAATTTTCCAACAATACCTTCATTAATGTTGGTGGGATTCTCACTGTATTAGAAACATTCTAAACAGAAAACAAAAAAACAATTTTTTTTTTAATCATATGTAATAATAATTAAAGAAATTTTGTCTTATGGAAATAGGGATACTTGAGGAGTTATGTTAGGAATTCTAAATAAATTATTAAATTTTCTACTAAATCTCTCACAGGACCCACACACATGTGATTTGTGTGAATTTCACAGTTTAGTAGAAAAATTTGATAATTTATTTAGAATCCATGACATTTTCTATACTTGAGCCCATATGAAAAAAAACTTAACTCTTCAAACATATCATAATTAATTTCTCTTATATATTTAAATTTTCTATGCCAGTGGAGGAAGTTAAATATCATTTATTACTTTCTTAACATCTGTCCTTAATGCACATGTTAATAGGGATAAGGGGTCACTGCTGTGCGTGAAGCACAGCAGTGACTGTGGTGCCTTTATTTAAGGTGTATTATGACCTTATTTTTATGATTCAAACCGTCCATTTTGTAGGGTTTGTTGAGTACTTCATGCCTACCAAAAATCATATTAATCGAATATCAACAACTATATGATCGAAAATCAAAAAAATAAATAATAAGTTTTATTTTGAGAAATAACATAAATAATATGCAATTCGATCATATAGTTTTTGATATCCAATTAATATGATTTTTGGTAGGCATAAAGTACTCAACAAACCCTACAAAATCGACGGTTTGGATTATAAAAATAAAGCCATAATACACCTCAAATAGAGGCACCACAGTCACTACTGTGCTTCACGCACAACAGTGACCCCTTATCCTGTTAATAGTACCCGATAAGAAATACGAGTTATGCTAAGGATCCCAAATAAATTATTAAATTTTCTAACAAATCTCTCATATGAGTGTGGGACCTACACACATGTGATTTGTGCAGATTCCACACTCATGTGAGAGGTTTGATAGAAAATTTGATAATTTACTTGAAATTCATAGCATTTTTCTAAAAAATACAAGACACTTTTATCAAATTTAATGTAATCAATATACTTTTTAATAGTTATATATATTTTAAAAACACTTTTTACATACTTTTCCGCATTAAATAATGCCCAGAGACAATTGTTAACATTTGCCAATATAAATTATACTTGTAATTTAAAATTTTTTTAATTACATAATAAATTATTCATTTTATTAAAAATTATAGATCATTAAGTTAATTAATAAATTTTAATGATATCAAATATATATTTAAATTAACAATTTTAATAATTTTGTTATTGTATGTAAGAGTAATTAGTAATTTTAACTTTTTTTTATTAATTTTTGTTAAATAAAATTTGTTTAACTAAAAAATATTTATAATTTTTAAAATAAGAAGGGATGTATTCATAATTCACCCAAAATATTAATAACCTGTAACGTACACCCACGGGTGAGAGTCAGTACGCCGCGTTTGGTGTAACTGTTAAAACAGCTTATAGAGTATAACTTAACAGATTATAGATTATGACTTTAATCAAAAGTTGTTAATCTGTTTGGTGTAGCTGTTGGATTATAGATTTAAGTTTCTGAGTAGTGTTTGTTAAATAAGCTGTGAAATAACTTTTTCAATTAATTTTTATTTTTTGTTTGTCTACATTTCTCATAAATAATAATAATAATAATCTATAGTCTATTTGAGTCTTTTTCTATTTTTAAAAAAATAAAAAATAAAAAAATTTAAGAGTATAACCATAAATTAACATGTCCACAGCAGAAGCTGATAATCAGAAGTAAGGGGTGAGCAACTTCTCAGAATCAGCTTTTTTGAGTTAAAATAAGCTGTTAGAATCAGAAGCTGTTTGAAATAAGTTTAACCAAACAGTCTAAAATAACTTTTTCAAAGTTAAAAACCATAAATAAGTTCTGAAAAATTGAAGCAAACACCCCCATTATCTAGAACTTGATAACAAATTTGATAGAGTTAAAAATTTAAAATTTATTTATTATTAACTAAAAAAATAAAAGTAATTAGTTGAATAGAGATACTCTTACCGTCACAGTTTTTAACTCATCAATATATATTATAAATAATTCACACCTCATATGAGGTAAATACAAGAAGGCATATTTTTAATTTTATTTTTTTTTCCAACTAGAAAGAATGATACTTGCTCTCACATTGACAAGGGAATAACTAATGAGAATTTTGTAAATGTCAAATTCACCACACCCATGATATCCCTAATAATTTAGCATATCTTAGAAGCTCTATGATTTGAAATTGAAGGAACTGAACTGAACAGAATAGAACATTGCACTGAAAGCATTCTGAACAATCAATCCCTAATAATTTAGCACCTAATACTCCTATTAATGCTATGACAATCAAGACTTATGATTCATTACATAATATATAGGAATAATATATAAAATTTATAACAATGTTAATCATAGGATATAACACCCTTTATGCTGGAATTCTAAGATTTTAACTGCTTTGGCTGTTTGGTAAACGATGGCGAATCCTCGACATCATTGCTTACATGATTGCTTTCAGATATTCAAGGACAAGCCAAAAAGGTGACCAATGAAAATGTGATATGTGAATGCGTGAGAGGGCAGATAAAAATAATTGACAAGGCCCAATCATGAAATGTGAGAATCGCAGGTGGACTAGAGTCTCAATTAAGCCTGTTTGCCAACCTTGAATTTCTCCTAGAATTGATCTCAGCTGCCCAACTCTTCCCTATTTCAGTTTGAAATTTTCCTGTTAAAAGAGGTAAAACATTACAACGTCCACTACTTGGAAGGCACTGAGGTAAGAATAGAATAAGTCAGCAATTTTTGCTTATAATTGAAGAAAGGGCAAACTTCACTTTATCTCCCTGTGGTTTGGATCATGTGCGGTTTACCTCTCTAACGTTTAAAAATGATCACTTTTCCATCCAAATTAACTGGCTGTGAGGTCCACACGCCTATGAAGAGAGTAGGTTTTATTTTAAGACCAAAATACCCCTTGCACATCTTCAAATTTGCAAAAGTATGCCATTCTTCTTTCTCATTCTCTCTCTATTATTTCTCTTTCCATTCCTTAACTTCAACCCATTGTACCACACTTCCCTAACCTTGCCTGCCACTGCCACTCTCCCCCCACAACTCCCACCCCACCGCCTCTCTCCTCCCTCACCACTATGTCCCATCTCCCTCTCACTGATTCGCAGCACAACTTCGCTACACAGAGCATAGCCCCTTGATTTGCATGAACGCCACAAGTTCACAAAACACATGCCATTGGTCCAAAGCAAATGCAACAATTCATTTTATAATTCAGATTCCTTCTCCATTAATACCATTGGCCATTTTGTTATTGTATGTGTATGTCTATATATATGTATTTAAGAGTATATATATATTTGTATCTCTTTGCACAGTTATATATATAGACGTATATATTTTTTAATTTTTAATAAGATTAAATTATATACACTTTTTATCCATTACAATTGGTAATGGTGGTTGAATTGAATAGATTGATGGTGGTGATTTTTTATTTTTGTTTTGGTAACACGGTTATTTGTTCATATACATAGTATATATATGTGTATATATATAATGTAATATGTGAAAAATGCTGGGTTTTCTAGTGTTTTGCATCACTCAAAATTTTTTGAAGTTGAAATTTGTTAGTTGGCAGAAGAAAGAAAATATGTGTGTATATATCAATATATATATATATATATATGAGCAGGTTTAATTCAAAAGAAAGAAGAGGAAGAAGACGAGTGCATAAAGGTCAATTTGCATGTTCTGTTAACAGAAGTTAGCGTGCGTTTTAATCCACAAACCACGTGGGGGTTATGTCGTAATTTCCAAACGATAAGGGGGTAATCTGCACATAGCCCAAATCACAAGGAAATAAAGTGAAGTTTGCCCTTGAAGAAATTATATTTAGTTTACCTGTGGTTGAAAGGAAAAACTCATCCAACACTTTGCCATGCTCTGCCACCTCAGCATAACATGAAATGAGAGAAATCAGATAGTTCATCAACAATATATTCAAATAATCAGTAGTTTAAACTATTTGACATAATGCAGCAAACAAAGCGCGGCTGAATAATAGTACTACTATTAAAAAAAGAAAAGAAAAAAGAACTAGAACCACTTGATCTATTTGAAAGTCTTAGATAAGAAGAATCATTTCAAGATATGATCAAACAACTAAATGGTTATATTAGATGTACGCTCATATAACAATTTGTCAAACCAAAAACGTACCCATTTCATATTCCAATGCTTGCAGAATCATTTCAACCTGAAGAAGTATGAAAATTCGTTAGACATCGTGCAAAACCTTCATCGGGAGGAGATCCTAGGATTTGAGTACTCTATTTACATGAACACACAAGCGATATTTATACATGCACACACAAGTAGCAATGATCATGAGCAGTCCTAGGCCATAGAAAAGGCTAGAGTCCAATATTGAATAAATCACTTAATTTCAATGTAGTGAAAATTTAGTCTTATGTAAAAAGAAAAATAATTATCTCTTCATACGTTGAAATGCAAATCAAAACCTGCAAATCTCATCCTAATTTGCATTATGAGAAGTCTGTCACTGAAACATTCACTTTTCAAATGACCCCACCTTTATTTTTACTTTAAAGTTTCAACTTACACCCACCATTGTTCACGTGGAGAAGGGTTGCTGATTTCAAGTGTCACAAATAGAAAGGTCCTCCTAAACCACATCAATCATCAAAGCAAGCACTTATTTTCATAATGTTTTTTGCACAAACAAAAATAATCGAACTAATAACACTTGGAAAGTGATCAAATATCAATAGAGATTCAACAAAAAGTGAAACGTCACTGATGCAAAATATCATTACAAAAACATTGGGGTTAACATGTACACTAATACCAATGGTGGAGTGTTTCCAAATGCACAAGCCTATTTGTTATGCACAAATATTTGGAATGTCAAATGGATGTTAGTAGCTACTTACTTTGTCAAAATCTTTCACAAGATTAGCCTCAATCGAAGAATTATTTTCATATTCTGCCCATAGTTCTTTGATTTCTTCAGCTGCAAATAACAAACACTGAAGTACAATTAATTTAACACCAAGGAAATAGACATGTAAGCAATCCAATATACTAAGTGTTAAATAATACCCCTCAGCCCTCCACCAAGAACTTCACACATTTCATTTAAAGCTGCCTGCTCTAATCTGCTCTTTACTGCTTTAGGCACACCATCAGATGGCGTTATATCTCCAACGATTGCTACAAAAGTCCAACAAGCGTCTCAAACTCCGAACCCCAAAACCAAAAAAGCACATCTAACTTTTCAACATAAGATAGAGCACAAGTCACTAACAGATGAAATTGGTGCGGTAAACAGTTGACAATCTTTACTACCCTTTCAACAACATAAGCTCACTGTATTAATCTTACATTTTGTGCAGGGGATTAAAAGAAAAAGTGTGTCTGAACTTGGGGGAGAAAATAAGCATATGTTAGAAGTTCACCTATCATACTTGCTGGATTTATAGTAAACAACAAGTAAATAGAAATCTTGTTAAAAGAAAAAGAAAGATAACAACTAGCACTGCACTGGCAGGTCTTTATGGTATCACTCTATCTTAGATTAAAAATAAGCATCATACTTCGAAGTTTGAAAGAATTTAAATCCTTCCAGTGAAACCATTAAAACACTGCATTGCATTTAAGACTCTTGCAGCTTAAGCCAACAATATAGCAGCACATAAAAGACATTGGAACTCTAAAGCTCTCGTGATTTGAAAACTGATGTGCTAGTGTCGATTCTTGAGATTGGGTGATTATCACAAAAGTGAAGCATCATTTCCAAACTGAAGACATGAATGAAAAAAAAAAAAAAAAAAAAAAAAAATTTAAAAAAAAACCCAGCATCAATAGAAACTTAAGCTTCACTCTTGATTTAACATATGACAGCAAATGTTCAAAAACCTAATCCCTCTAGAACTCTCGAAACAAGCAATAAAATATTGATCTTCATTTTAGAGCTTAGTCTAGCCATCTTCATCTTGATGAATTCTCTCTTTGAAGATGGCAACTTTCAAGATTAGATACCAAGAACATCAGAAAGTAAAATAGATTTAAAGAGATACCTTCTGCAATATCATGCACTATTGCTATCTTGATACACCTGTTTGAATTAAGGCCAACAAATTTAATTAGCTGACTAGGAAAGCACTTCAATAAAGAATAACAGTTGAAAGGTTCTCTTTCTTTCTTTCTTTCTTTCTTTAATTTTTTGTTGTTGTTGTTGTTGATAAATATGACAGTTACAAATATCATATACGTGAAAAACTGAGTACTAACATAAATAAGCATAACAGAAATGTATGAAAGATTTAATGCTGACAGGCTGAGAGAAAAATCCAGAAGGGCAGGCGTGGCTGACAAAGCAAATAGGCACTTCAGGAGACCTATGTCAGCTAGAATTAGACACCAGCGTTTTTCCTCGCTATCAGCTTAGATTCCAACTTAAGGTGAACAAAAAGCATCTCAGCAAAACTTTCTCCAGATACTAGCTTTGCTAATACAGTGTCATCTATTTTTACATCGACATACCAATGGTTGGAAGTTAATGATTTTATGCACAGTACTTTAAGCACAAAGAATCAGATACCTCAACTTTGTTGTTCAAGGTTACTTCCTATCTTCTTAGTGCCAAAAATCAAAAGGAGACATAAGCATGAGAGCAACACAAGGAATATTGTTCTGGCAGAACCATTCATACAAGCCCAACAGGTATCTTTGTTCTTTTCGGTTTCCGATTTTTTCCCATTTCTTTGGTAGTGGCAAGAGATACACACTCAAGAGAGTAGATGGTAGAAATTCTTTTTTCTACATCGAGGAACTTGATCTACCTAAATTTAATCTATCTAGAAACTTTAACCAACCCATAATTTCAGATCCTCAAAAACTAAGCAGACTACAGGAACACTCTGTTTATTAATTTATTTTTAATCTAGTTTACTTCAGTAATTTGACAATTCTATGCTCCAATTGGTAAAATAGCTATCTAGCTAAGAAACACAAATTCTTCTAATAATGTGCCTTGTCCATGCACATGTCAGACATTGACACTCATCAAACATTTCCTTACACATGTCAAACACACATTCAAATGTGACTAGTTATTTTTTAATATTTTTGACCCAAACACGCTCTGGACACCTGGGTGACACATATTTCCATCTCTTAGACACACATAAAACACATCGCAATTATGAACAAATTAACTTATAAGATACAATGATAAAAGAGAAATAACGTAGTTTTTACCTATTAATACCACATCCTTTAACTTTTAGAAATTAGTGTTATGTTGCATTTCTTTTATTATCTTTGAATAGAATATTCATATATATGACATACAATATATTTTGCATGTGCTCTCCAGATGTCATGTCCTTAAAACTTGCTGTATCGGAATGTCCGCATCGTATCTCATCCATACTTCTTAGCATGCCTAGGAATACATTTACGTAGTTTAATTAAGGTCTACTGGCACAGGGTGAGGCATATGGAATTAACACTGGCCACAATGTATATTTGAGGCAGGTCAGTCAAAGCCCAAATCAGGGTACAATGTCTGGTAAGGGTCTGGCTACACAGCCACAAATCCAAAATGTTGGCAGCCTTAGTATAGAAGGAATATTGCTGCTAATCTACCAATAATCTATTCCATCAACAACCTGTAGAAGGGGTCAATTTGAGCTCATTAAAATTAATTTGGCCCAATCGGAAAGTCCAAGATTGGTAGGCCCGGATTTATAGTCATCAAACAGGACTGGATCGCTCTAAGTCTCGAGAGGGTTCGGATCCACAAACCTAGAGACTCATTCGAGCTCAGACTCGAAAGGGCATTGAGCAAGTCTAGAGATCCGAGGCACTCGGGCTTCGAATGGATTCGATCGCAATCTAGAAGTTGCTTCATTGATAAATCCCATAACATTTGCGAACTTAGAGCATTCCGGGATCAACCCACCAAAAACACGAGTGAGGTTAGAGGTTGAACAAAGGGCCTGAATCCCAAGGACGGTGGGTGGAGATGAATTCACTCATTGGTTAATTTAGCCTATACTCGGGTCGAGGTGACACAACCTTGGGGGGTCCATGAGACTCGACAATATTAGCAGCGAGGGGTCCTCTAGGACTACCCCGACCCTTTGGGATGGTTGGGGAGCATTGGTTCGGTGTGGCTAAGAAGAGGAGTTTGCCGAGGGATTGATCTCATCTTTGAGACTTTTCTCATCCTCGGACAAAATAGTTAGAGAGAATATTCCTCCATGTGCAAGGCACCACTTGAGTTGCCTATAAATAGAGCACTCCCCATAGCCTTAAGGAGGAGGATTGTAGAGAGAGAGAGAGAGAGAGCCTTTAGAGTTATCATCTTCCTTCCTTAAGAGTGAAAGTGGGATCTATGGGAGCATGCAATGATTATCTATCTCTAGCTTCTTTACCTTCTTCTTCACCCAACCTCTTCCTCCCATCATCTCTTCTCTATGCAAACTTCCATTTGTTGTGGCCATTGAAGAATCTTAACCTCACCACTCATATCTAGGACGTTCGAAGTTCCCGGCAAGCCTTTGAAGATTCCAGTGACTTTTCCGGCGGTCTTCAACTTTTCCGGCGACACTCTTGGACCCTCATGTACACAACCACATTTTGTAATCCCACCTTTTAAAACAGCCAAAGGAAGTTATATTCCTCTTTGAAAGCAAGTTCTCCTGATCCACCAATATCAAAACCTTGATTATGGAACTTCCACAATCACATCCTTACTCAAAATAATAATACAGGAAGATGTTATAACCCATGTGCATGTACCGTTAAACAAAGGGGTCCTTGGGAAGAAAAGTAATGATTTTGATAAAGCTCAAAATTTTGGTGTGGGTTTGATTAAGAAGAGACGTGGATATCATCAGTAAAAAAGAGGGGAGACAAGGGGTGTTTAGTCAGACAAAAGTAGAAAGATATCTTCCCTTTTTTGTACAACATTGACAAGGCTTTTAGGGGTAAAATTAAACATCAATTTGATTAGGCAAATAAATATTTACCTTAACACACAAATAATGATAAAGCATGTTTCTTCACTTTTTTAATACAGACAAACTCACAAGATAAGGTGTCAAAAACATTTAAAAAATAAATAAATAAATAAAAATAAATTACTTGACATGTAAACCAATATAAATGTTATGGTAACTAGCTAGGAGTATCCAAATAAAGCAAAAGTTCAGATTAATTTACAAGGCTAACCTTTCCCTGTTCACACCAGGAAGGTCACTGGCAATCAAAGCCATCAATGCCATGCGATACATATGATCAGCAATAGACTCAGGACCCTTTATCCCATGATTGATCCATCCCTTCCGCTTTGTGGTCTACAAAATGGGGGAAGAGAGAGATCAAACAATACCATAAAAGAAACAATAAAATCTTCCAAACAACAAATGCTTCATGGAAAAAATCATAGCAGTTTTGGAGGCAGTACATTTAACACAAACAAAGCTCAGCCAAATTTTTTTGTTTGTGCTAAATTTTTTTCTCAACATCCCCTAACCAACATTGACTTGATTGTTCAATACAAACACAAAACCAGCCAAAATTCTTTTTTCATCATATCACACATGCTCAATTTTGTGCCTCAAATTTGGCAAGTACTGGAAACCCCCCTCATTAAATCTCTCAATTATCACAACATGGACACTCAAGTGAACAGTGAACACGATACAACACTAGAAGGGTGGCGCACGCACAGTGTGCACTTAATTATAACTATTGATTATTTTTTATATGACAATTTTGAGCAATATAAACTTAAGAGAAATACATTGGATGGAACCGTGATTTTGTCATCAAAGGGCTCAAAAGGTGAATAATGTTTTTTAACCATATACATAAGCACATGTATGTACAATATATGATATATAAATTAATAATGAGCAGTGAACTGATTAGGATTATGCATGGAATGCAATTTTTTTTTTTTTGAAAATGATTAAGTGGTTAATCTTTGAAATTAAAAATTGGGGGTGTTTCCATATTATAACTGTATAGAATACCTATTAATTAATTTTTTATATGATAATTTTGAGCAATATAAACTTAAAAGAATTACAATTAATCAAGAACAATGAGCAATGAACTAACAATGAACTAAGAACAATATAAACTTAAAAGTGGTTTTTTTTTTTTTTTTTTTTTTGGGGAAAAAAAATTCTAAAGCTATTTAAAAAAAAAAAAAAAACTAATTCTCAATCATAGATCAAGTATCCAAAGGCATCATGAAAACACACTCAATACAATCAAAACAATTTTCCATATTTTATATAAACATTACCTTAAGGCTATGGCACAATGTGAGGAAATCGATGGCCAAGGAAGAGGACGAAGCTTGTGTATCAGAACCAGATTCAAAGCCATCTACGCTCGAGACAGGCGAGAAGTTTCCAGTGGCAGAAACTGAGACGAGCCTGCGAGTCAGAGGGTCGTTGAAGAAGGCAAGGTTAAGCGAGGTTGGATGAAATCGGTCAGGGACACAACGGTTCAGTGAGAGGGAACACTGAGACGATGAAGAGAGAGAAGAGGGCTTCGCTGCTGCCATTGCTGTACAACGATCTTCTAAGACTGATTTTTAAGAGAAACAAAAATGCTAGATAACCAAAATTTTTATCAAATTGCTCATCTGGTTGCAGGGATGGGGTATTCAGATTTCAAGTAGTCGGAGTGGAGTATTCAGATTTCAAGTTGATAGTTACATAACAGTTGCGTTTTGAATGACGCAAGGATTCTAAATAATTTATCAATTTTTTTATTAAATTTTTATATGAAAAGTGTGAGTTTAATTCTTTCATTACAAACAAATCAACAACAATTAGCAGAACAATTCAACAACATTTTTGGTCCTTTCAACCACACCCAACCCCTTCTCTCTCTCTCTCTCGAGCAAGGATCCTCTAGAGTTTTTTTTTCTTAAAGTTTCCTAGAGTAGTGCATTGTGTGGTTGAGATTTAATGACAAACCACACAATACACCACTTTAGGAAACTTTACGAAAAAAACACTCTAAAGGATCCTTGCTGCTCTCTCTCTCTCTCTCTCAAATATCGGAACCCAAAACAGAGACCCAAATAACATACCAGAACTACCACCAATAAAATTCAGCAAATGACTTGAAGCAAAACAACACCAAGATCCAATCATTGAGGCCTCGTTTGGGAACAGGCTAATTTAGTAACTTTTTGGCTATTTGGCTAAAAAGATAGGTAAAAAAAACTTGTATGTTTGGGATGACTTTTTGGCTAATTACGAAAAGATGTGCAAAAAGTAGAGAGAAAAGAGAATCTTTGACTTTTTGGTATGAGTTGTTGGCTTTTTGGCTAATTTAGTAACTTTTTGGCTAATTGGCTAAAATAGCTTCTTGCCAAACGAGGCCTGAGTCTCCTGAGGACATGAAAAACTACTGAAACTAATACCTCGGCCCAAAAAACTCAATAACCAAACAGAGTGATTAGTCTTCGACAAAAAAACCACCTCTGCTAACAATATACTTGATTAACTCAATCAACTCTTCCCAATTTGAATTTGGTTGAGCGCTATTGAATACAAATTTATTTCAAATATCCAAAGTTAATTCACCAAATAGACGAGTTTGATAACAAAATCCAACTCTAGAGGTCTCCATTGCAGAGTCACTCACTCTGTTGTTGGGAACACACTTCTTGGACTTTAGATAGTTGCAACACCGGGTTTCATTCAACTACTTGTTCCTCCAGAGAACCAACCAGATCATATATATACATACATACATACATAAATCACCAAAAAAACATGATGATTGATTTCCTTACTAGGGTGTTAAAGTCACTTAAAAGTAAAGAAACATAAATAAAGCCCCATTGAGATCATAACATACAACCAGAAAACTTGATGATTTTTTCCATTAAAATGCTCTGTTCCTTGATGTATCTTTTTGTAGAATTACTTGTATTCTCCTTTTTGAAGATACATCAATAAATCATTTTGCTTATAAAATGGTTCATTTACAACCAAATCTTATTGTCGCTACCATAAACCTTCTAAATATGCCTTCAAATGAAAATAAACCTTTAAAATAACAAAGAGGCTGAAATGTTAAATTGTAGAAAAATTACCTAACAAAGTTTTATTTTATTTTATTTTTGAGATACACTGCATCCCTTGAACCGGAACAAGCATTCCACTTGTTTGGCGAAAGCGATTTGAGATGTTGTGTTGACAAATGAGTTGGGTAGACCCGGTAGATGACTAATAACACAAATCTTCCTCAAACTTTTGCCTTGCAACTCGTAGTAAAATAATTCTAAGAATTCCTTCCTTTGTACTCGTCCCTCCGGTAGATGTAAAATTTCATCACTTTCTCTCCGCCAATGTAGTAAAATCTCATCACCTCTATGAATTGAACCAACAGGAATCAACATTCGCCAAGGACCATGAGTCTTGTAAATATGTGGAATGAGCAAACTCTCCGTCTTCCAATTTACCCCCAAACTTTCATCTAACATCCAAATCTTGTCAAGTTTGGTATTTATCAATGCCAAACAATCTCTGACTTGTATGAGCTTTATTGAAAAATTTGCATCATCTGGATGACAAATATATCTGAACTTCTCTTGTTCAACATCGAAAGCCAAAATCTTACCCTGACTCGTCCCCCAGCAATATATAGTTCCATTAACACAACACACTCTTGACATATAAAAATTGCTCAACTGACTTGCGAGACAATCATCAGAATCAGAATCAATATCTCTCCACATGCTTCCAGTGCCGAGACCCAGAGTCAAAATCTTACACTGCGATGCTCCAGTTTCCTTGTCTCCGTTAAGTCCTTTTCTATATTTTTGACATATGTTGACTACTTTGTATTCATTACTATTGGGAGCAAACCCTAAAAAGCAATAACTAAAAAAAGTCCATTTGGTGTAATTGGAAACTAGTTCACAAGGTACAGGTGGAAGGGTTAAGATCTCTCTTGTGCTAGGGTTCCACACATTGTTGCCGTAACAGACTAAGCCATTAACGAACTGTATGAGACTGAAATTATCGGCGAAGGGCAGTGTTTGAACCGGACAAGGCGGTTCTATTCCCTGTGGGTTTATTGAAAAAAAGTGAGTGACATGCTCACCATCAGGACCATAAGGATAAGGCTGTGCAAGCATAAGGATTGTGATACCGCCTTGTCGAGTATGGGATCGACCACGGTGGGAGTTGATGAACAGTGGGCTGTCCACGATGGAGCACCATAGCTTTGAAACGCACCTGAATCTGAGTAAGGATTTTGCAGGAAGTTCTTTCAGTACTTGGAAGATAATATCTTGAGGGATTGAATTCTTTGTTTCTTCTGTACTCTCCTCCATCTTCTTCTTCTTCTTCTTCTTATTTGAATCTTTGGAGTTTAGAGTTTTTTTTGTTTTTTTGTTTTTTGGATTGGGAAATAGTAGTATATATACTGCTAGGGTTTGTATGAGAAAAGCCTAGCGGCATGGTTTCATTTTTTTTAAGGTTTTATTACACTTTTTAACTCTAAACTATTCCTAAAATATTTAATTTAAACATATTTAGTTATTAAAAAAATTATAAAAATAAAATATATACTCATAAGTATTATAAATTAAGATAAATTATAAACATACCTCCTGAGATTTACTTAAATTACAAATTATTCTCTGTGATTTTAGAAATTACATTATGCCCACAAGATTTCTAATTTCATAACAAATAGATCATTTTATTAATAATCATAAAGTTAATTAATAGTTTTTAATAATGTTAAAATTTTATTTTAATTAATAATTCAGATAATTTTATTATTATATAGGTGAACAGTTAGAAATTTCACTTTTTCAATTAATTCTCTTAAATAAAAAATTCTAACAGAAAGGTATTTGTAATTTTTCAAACCACATGAGCAATTTGTATTTTAAGCAAATTTCAGTGTATTTGTAATTTATCTTATAAATTAGTAAAAGACCCTATTTAGTTAAAATTTTATTTTAAAAAAATTTAAATTTGTATTCTGTCTTTGAAAAGTGCATGTCAATTTTTTTGATGAATTTTCTTTAAAGGTAAGGATAATTATCTATAATATTTTCTTACTTATATTTTATAATAGCTACTTGCTTAGCTTTATTTATTATTATATACTGAATTTTGTTTATAATTTTAAATTGATTATTTTTAATTTTTTAATTAAATTCTTTTTATAAGTTAATTAATGTATTATTTTGTTCTATTATAATTTGTAGTGAAAGATTATTATTTAAATTATTTAATTTTACTTGTTCAGTAAATCTTAATTCTCGCATAATTTTATTGGCAAGATTGAGAAACCGAACTCTAATATTAATTCAAATACACAACGGAAAAAAATACTTTTTAAAGACAAAAGAGAAATTTAAGATCTATCTAAAATAAAATCCTAACTTAATAGGTTTTTTATTAATTTATAATACTTATGGACATATATTTTATTTTTATAATCTTTTCAAGGACTAAATAAATTTTGAATTAAATGCTTTAGGGACTTAATAGATTCAATCTATAGTTTATGGACTAAATAGATTTTAATTTAAGTACTTTAGGAACTAAGTAGACTAAATCGATTGTTTAATGACTAAATAGATAATTCGAGGATAGTTTAAAAGTATAAAGTGTAATTAACCCTTTTTAAATTATTATTATTTCATCTACTAGGAAAGCTCATTCTAGTATCTGTGGGATACATATTTTACCTTATCAGTAATATTACATATCGAGAATTTTTTGGAAGGAAATAATTTGCAAACAAAACTCTTAGGCTCCTTTGGTCAGAAGGAAAATTGGGTAGAATGTGAATGTGTATGTGAATGTGAAAGGAAAAAAAAAAAAAAAAAATGGCAAGTATATAAAGATTTTGTAAGAAAAAGATAGGAAAATTTAAAATTTTAATTATAAATAACTTACACATTCAATTTTTATTATATTTTTTTTGTAAGAAATTAAAATTAGTTACAATGCTAGTATAAATTGTACAAGAAAATTACGGCTACATTTGGTTTAGTTTTTGAAATGAGATTTGAGTTGTGAGTTGTGTTTTGAAAGATAAGTTTTTGAAATGAGTTTTGAAATGAGAAAATTTGATTGATTATGAGTTTTGAAAAGAGTTTTGAGTCATATTTTGAAATTGTTTTGGGTTTATTTTTTTTAAATATTTAAAATTTTTCTTAATTTCATTTTTTAGGGTAAATATTTTTTATTGTAAATAATTAATTAATTATTTTTAATGTGTATTGTATTTACTACATTTGTTTTTCATTTCTTTATAATTTTTGTACTGGTTAAGTATAATTTTGATTGGCTAATACATATCTAAAACATAACAAATTATTTTGCCAATACTTAAAACCAACTTAAAATTCTACATCGGTTTATCGAATGCAAATCCACGTGGTTATTGTGATGCCCGGGTACATAACCCGTCTTATTCTCTTTTAATCGTGTCTATCTTTCTTGTGTTGGGGATGTCTAGAGCTAATCTACGGTCTTGTCAGCTGTTTAGATCCATCGCTTTTGAAACTTTTCGATTATACACCTCCAATTTTGTTCCAGAGTTGGATTTTTCTTGTGTCGGTGGTGTAGTTGGAGTCGGGGTAGTTGTGAGTTGGTTGAGCTTGCAAAAAATCTAGTGGGGTAACAGAACTGCACGCGCGGGAGGGGCGCCGCACGTGTGGGGAAGTGTGTCGCACATTTGGTGAAGGGGTGCTTTCTGGGCGTTGCTTCTATTCTAATTGCATGAGCGAGGGGCACGTGCGGGAGGCGTATCGCACGTGCGGCATAGGTACGCTTCGCATTTGTTTCTCATTTCTGGAGTCCGAAAATTTTTCCCTTTTCTTCTCCTTGGGCTAAGTGTATCTCATTTTCTTTTCATCTCCTTATCTCTAAAAACACATTTCCTCTCCATTCTCTCTACAAACTTCCACCCACAACCATAAACTCTTGATTTCTTTCAATCCATTCAAGATTTGACCTAACCTCCTCATTAATTTTGGAGAGCTCATCAATGGCTGCATTTTGTGCGATGGAGATCGGATTTCAGCATCATCAATTTTAGGGCTTTCTCACATTTTTTTCTCTAAAACTTGAGGTAGGGAGTTTCTTTGAGTTATATATATGATTTTAACATGTCTTAGCTTTTCTTGATGAAATCCTTGAGTTTTGAGTTAGGTTTTTGAATTTTTTTTCTCTTAAAAGTAGAAATTTCTCATCTCTCATGAAATTGGTTTAATTTATGAAATGTATGACTATTTAAAGTTCATGGATAAAAACACCCCTTGAGAACAAATGAAATCCTGTTGGGTGAAAACCCTAGAATTTAAAATTTGGGAAAAGTTGAAATTGTTGAGAGAAAACTCATGGGATCATGAGATTTTTGTTGAAAAAGATGAGAAAAATTATGCGTGATTACATTGTTGAAACATCCATTTAAGGGATAAAATTTTGTTGAGGAATTGCCATGGATAGTATGGTTGAAATACTTGGGATTATGGAAAAATTGAAGATTTGTAAAGTATGGTGATTATGGATTGGGTCTTGTGTCCCATGGTTATGATTATTTTATTTTATTTTATTGGAAAAACATTGAAATGCAGAGGAGTGTATTGTGGTATGGTAAAGTCTTGAGGAATATGAAAATTGTAAAATAGCATTTATACATTTGCATAGCTCAGTGAATTGATTATTGTTGCTATATTTTGGAAATTGAATGATTGTTGTTAAAATAATTATAAATCTTGAAGATATTTTGAGGTAAATAAGTTGGTAAATCTAAATAGGGGGTATAGATTGGTATTGTTTAAGTTGGCATGAGTGTCCAGGGTAAAAGACCGAAAACATATGTGAATGAGATACTATGTGCCTTCTGATTAGGAGCCAGTAAAGTGGGAATTGGTAGTGTTTGATATGCCTACTTGCAGACACCAACTTAGAGATTACCTGAGTTGTATTTGCCGCCCTGTTTGTACATTTTGAATTGAAATAAGATGACGACTTTTGATATTAACATTGACATAAGGTTTCTCAATAAAAAGAGTAAGTCATGGATTTTAAAGCATGGCATCGCATGACATTCATACTGTGAGATTGCTTACACATATATACTCTGTTAAGAATTTTTAACTAAGTTTTGTGTTTACCCCTAGTGGATTGTGCAGGAAAGGACGTGGCGATCACGCTTATTAAAGGTGTGAGATGTGTTTTGAGAGCATGAAGCTTTCTTTTCTTTTGTTGATTATTTTAACAATGGGTTGGATAACCACCTTTTGTATAATCGTACTTAAACCTTGGAACTTGTAACCCTGGGACATTCTTTTTGTTTGGTTTGTTGTTATATTCCTTTATCTTAATTGTCTCACATGTTATGAATTCAACTTTGTTAAGATTGAATATGTATTGTATGTGGATTTCTTTGGTAAACTTCTAACATGAATGAAATGCAAATATAGAGATTTGGCTTCTTGAATTGAGATTATGAGGATTAAATGAAATAATTGGATGTACTCCTTTATTATATTTTTGGAGCGCTACAATTATGACCATTTATGTAGCGCCCCAACTTCCAGGCCGTTAAATAAGTACAATATTACCACACAAATAGGATAGATAACCAAAACATCTTAACATACATATATAACCAGAGTTAGTATCACAGATCATTCGTTTATTTTTCATTACAGGATTACAAAACATTGAAAACAAAAACAACTAGTCTAAGTCTTCAAATGAACCACCGCTCCAACACTTCATCGTATTTGCCTTCGCAATAACTTTCACCATTATAACTGCTTCACCACCTGGTATGACACGCCATGAGCTTGGAATGCTTAATAAAAACACATACATCCCCATATCTTCTATCAACCAATCAACCATACATAGGACAAATTGGGTAACATAACATGCAAAATTACAACAAGGTTCTATGAATTAGGAGTTTGCCTAGACATCTAGGATCCCCCAAAGAGATCCTTCTACCCAACCACAAGGCTGAACACCGGATTACTCAGACTCCCCCTTTTGCTGCTTTGCAGACCTTACCACCTATGCCCATCTCCTGGTTATTTACCGGTTAGTGACATTGATGGACCTCAAAAGGGACGGCCAAACAAGTGGGCTTGCTTACACCCAAATTGTGCCTAGGGCTCGCTTACACCCTGCACATGCCATACCAAATCGTGCCTAGGGCTCCCTTACACCCTGCACATATCATACCAAAGGGCTCGCTTACGCCCTGCACATATCATACCAAAGGGCTCGCTTACACCCTGAAACCACCGCATAGAGTCTGAATACATACATGTCAACCTAGGGGCTCGTTTAGACCGCTTGCGCAAGACTTAACTCATTTGGTTTTAATTCCATTCACATGT